CAAGAGAAACAAATCCAGGGAGATGCATGTGTGTAAGAGAGAGTTTTACATCAAAGAGTAATTGCGTATTGAGAAAACATCCCTGCCCAGTCCAGATCAAGTCCATAGGTCCAATATTAGCCCATATGTCCGATACCGATCTATAAATTCCACTTCAGATTCATGCAGCACATGAAATGACACCAAATGCAGGAAGATCCCAGGCCAGTGGGTGGAAAGTCTTGTGGATCCAGTGGCAGTAGAGGCATCTCAGCACTGGCGTGGGTCTCCACATGGCTCCTTCAGCTCCAGGGCTCTAGCAGAGCTCCATGTGTCTTGTCAGCAAGCATGCCTCGCAGGGAGTGAGTGTGTGTCCCACTTCCAGTGAGCAATTTATCTCCTTAGTGCCTCCAAATGAGGTCATCAAGCTGCGACCTGATTGACAGGCTAAACTCCACCCCTTCACTCTTCAGTCTCAAATTGACAACAGATGATGCAACTACCACAGATGGGAAATTTCACAGTTTCTTATTTTCACCATTGTGTGCTGTCAAAAATCAGCATATTACTCTGGGTCAGGACAACAGATAGACCGAGAACTAAAAAAAGAACAGGCAGCACACTACTTCAAGACAAAAGCAAAAGCAACAACAATGACTCAAATATTAAGGCGGTGCTGTTTCTTGACTTGTTTTACTGTTTAGGCTAGAGATTCGTGGGCCCAGAGACAGACTGGAAATCAGGAAAAATAATGAAGGTGGACCATGTCATTGGTTTTATGTGGCCTAACCACAGAATTTGTACACCAAACCTACTCACACTGAGAAAGTTCCAACTCATAGACCCCAGAGAACAAGTAGAGCTGCTCTCAGAGTTTCTGAGATTATACCTCTTTCCTGGGGCAGAGATAGCCTTGTCTTTCTCCTGCAGGGCACCTGGTGGGTTTAAACCACTAACCTGGCAGTTAGCAGCCCCAGTGGACCACCAGGACACGTGCAGAATTTCTAGCAAATCGTAAATCTCATCCAATTTGTCAGTGGAAGGAAATTGAACCCCTCTTGGATTGGCTGGAGGTTTTTTTTCAGCTTCACCTTGAGCTTCACACAAAACAAGCATGACCCCAACCCAGGTCTGATAGCACTCAGCACGTGGAGAGCTTTGTCATCCGGCAGAGCTGGAGTTTACAGCATCTGATCCCAGTGGGGAAATCACAACCTAGTCAGGTCTTGTGGAGTCAATCCCAAGGCATGGGGACCCCAGGTGTTTCACAAGACAACTGCATGGGCTTCTCAAGTGGCTGGTTTTTCAGGAAGAGTTCACCAGGTCTTTCTTTAATGGCACTTCTGGGTGAGCTCAAAGAACTAACCTTTTAGTCCATTGGGATTGTTGTGAGGTGCCATCGAATTGGTTCTGACTAAGGCCAACCCTGTGCACAACAGAGCGGCGAAACACTTCCTGGTCCTCCATCCTCCCAGTTGTTCTGTTTCAGCCCATTGCTGCAGCCACTTGTATCAACCATCCTGTGAGGGACCTTCTTCTTTTTCGTTGCCCTTCGACTTTACCAAGCATGATGTCCTTCTCCAGGGACTGCTGTCTCCTGACACCGTGTCCAAAGGATGTGAGACAAAGTCTCACCGTCGTTGCCTCTAAGGAGCACTCTGGCTCTGCTTCTTCCAAGAGAGATGCGTCTGTTCTTTGGACAGTCCACAGCACTCCCAATAATCGTCACCGGCACCATCATTCAGACGCATCGATTCTTCTTCAATCTCCCGGATTCAGTGCCCAACTCTCACAGGCAAAGGAGACAATGGGAAGTGCCACGGTTGGAGTCATTCACCAAATGCCTAATCAGTTGGGCCACCAGGGATTCCTCCAATCTCAGTGTCACCCGAGTTGGCGTTGAAAGGCCAAGAGTAGCTCTGTCCCAGGGGTGCATCCGCATCCTACTCACTGTCACGAATTTTAAAATGGAGTGTCCAACCCAACTAACGCTCATAAGTTTATAGCTGAGGGGCTCTGCATTAAAAGAACAGCCAGTTAAAGAGACCCCAGCAAGCACACAGTTAACCGCCCTGCCATTACTTACTTAAAAGCTTTGGCCCGCCAGCACTCAGCTATTAAAATTCGCCACGTGAGCCCGTGGCTTTAGAAGGGAATTAGAGCTCCCCTGTTGCTTTTTTTGTTCTCAGCCCCATGCTATTTCTTCATTATGGGTTGACGTGCTTGTGTCTTAAGCTGTCACACTGGTAGGCCTGTTTGCCCCACTGTACACACCTTTTGTTTTTGTTATTGGAATTGTGTGCGTGAATGATGGAAAATATAAATATATTAAAAAGTGGTTTAAGTAAACAAGGAAAAAGAATGCCTTATTATCTCTATAGGCTCCAGGAGGGCTGGATTCTGGTGTGGTGACTTGGCCTCAGGGAACTTGCTGGAGGACCAGGCCACTGGGAACCTAGCTCTTTCTCTAGCCACCCAGCTCAGGTCCGGGGCCTGTGGTCAAGTTGCCCCTGGCAGAGAAGGCACCCCTTCTCCTGAGAAAGCCTGGTTCCTTCCCAAAGTTGGCAGATGTGGCGAGTGGAGAGACACAAGTCCAGGGGTGGGATTTGGCTAGTTGGGCAGCATCAATACCTAATTTTCTGTTGAGTTCAGTGAACTGGTTGTTAAAATGGTACTTGTAATCAGGACTCTCTCTAAGGTGGGTGGCTGGGCAGCCGCCCTATGTGAAGATTGCAAATTTACATTCCGTGTTCTTTTAAGTATAAAAATCTAGATGGAACTAAGCTTGTCATAAAAACTAGGAATCTTGCAAGGGAGGACCCAAATCAAGAAGCCAAGTGGAGATATCTAAAATAACAGTTCTATTGTTTTCATCAGGTATTATGTAATACTTTCTCATTCCTACCTTAAAACTCTTCCTTATGCCAATCTAATTTTGTGTATCTCATTTCTTGTTCTTATTTAAGTATGAACTATATAAAATAATAAACTACCTTTCAGTATATCTTTCTTGTATACTTAAAACCATGATCAGGGCAGTGTACTGCTTGCTAAATTATTTGAGTCCCACCACTGAGCAAGTCCTCTTAGGCCAAGTCTAAGTGGATGTCCAGATGGGTCCCCTCCAGAAAATGAGGGTCTGACTTAGCTTAAGAAGGCTGGTTGACTGAGAGGTCAAACCAGGCCACGAGTAGCCATGGAGGGACATTTGAATGCTGGCCTTGTTACTTAACAGCTGCACATTGGTCATCCCCAGTGTCAGGACCAGCGGGCTAGTTGTGAGTGTCTAAGCACCAAAGGAAAAGATCCGTCTCACCGTCCAATAAAGAGTGTATACACCAGGCATCAAAAAAACTCATAGAAATTTTCCAATATTCTTCACACCCAAGAGCACTGTTTCTTGGGTTAAATTCACCACATCACGGTTGGGTGGAAATGTGTCTTCCAGACACTGCATCCTATAAGACCATAATGACCTGGAAGGAGGCCATTCTGAGTTGTCTCTAAGCCTCGGTTGTTTCTTTTTAACCCGTGAAATGAGACAATCATTGCAGCATGGCAGTGTGGTTAGAAAGATGAACTACTATGATTTCTATAAAACACAGTCATCAAAAGCCAAACTGAGCCCATTTCCATCTGTCATTGCTGTGGTTGTTGTTTGTTTTCATTGTCGTTGTTGTCGTCATTGCTATTGACACTGTTGGGTACCGTTGAGTTGATTCCAACTCACTGTGACATTCTGTCCAACAGAACAAAATACCACTTGGTCCTGTGCCATCCTCAAAATTGTCCTTGATTCCTTGTGGCCGCCACGGTGTCTGTCGACGTTGTTAAGGGGCTTCCTCTTCCTCACTTCCCCTCTGCTTTACCAAGCAGCGTGTCCTTTCCCGGGCACTGGTCTCTCCTGATAATAGGTCTAAAGGCCATGAGACAAAGTCTCCCCATCCTGGCCTCTATGGAGCCTTCTGGTTGTACTTCTCCCAAGACAGCTTCCGCCTAGTCATTCCCACAGCACAGTGATCTCACGGAACAGAGTGGACATGCCTCATAGGATTTCCTAGGCTGTAGTTTTGAGCAGAGGTGACTGCCTCGTCTTTCTCACATGGAGCAACTGGTGGGTTTGAACCCTCAATGTTTGGGTTATAAGTCAAGTGCTTCACAACAGCAAGGCCAGGGCTCCTTTAGCCCTTCAACCAAACTCCCTGCCATCAGGCCATCCTGACTTGCTGCTCAGTAAGTCAGAGTTCCCGAAGCTCGCATCTGGCTCCTGGTCTTATCGTCAGAGCTAGGCTCTGTTCAAGAAGGCTCACATACGTGTTGCTCCTGTGTGCCATTGTGTGATTCTAAGTCATAGCAACACTAGAGGACAAAGTAACACTGCCCCTGTGGGTCTCTGATGCTGTCCATCTCTACTGGGGCAGACAGCCTCATCTTTCTCCCAAGGAGCAGCCGGTGGTTTCAACTGCAGGCCTTGTGGTTAGCAACCAACACATAACTCACTATCCCACCTGGGCTCCTGTCCGTTTTCATACGCTTGCTGTGAAGTCATGGGTGTGTGTTGACATCCAGTGTACAGAGCAGGGTACTCCGAAACCAGGAAAGAAAACATGCTGGAGTGTGTCGAATGCCCTTTTAAAAAAAGGACAGAGTTGATCCCACCCTTACGGCCAGCTCCAGTCTACTGATGGTGGCTGCCTGGGTCAGCAGCTGGAAGCCACCATTCGCTCCTCAGGAGAAAGCTGAGGCTTTCTGCGCCCGTAGAGTAGCACTCTCATGATCCGGCAGGGGCAGTTCTGCATTGTCCATTGGGTGGCGGTGAAGCAGGATCCACTCAGTGGCCGTGCGTTGAGTTTCAAGTCATGCCCTGGAGGAGTGTCTGGTGGCACGCCAAGACACAGAGGGAACTGATTAAAGACGCCTGCCCATGTTTGAGGTGGGGGAGAGGGTGCCGAGGCAGAGAGAGAGCTCGCCGCCCGTCCAGATCTAAACACCATCTCCTCTGCTGTGCTTCGCTTTCGCAGACGCTGGAAAATCCCAAGTACGAACTGATCATCGAGGCCCAAGACATGGCCGGACTGGACGTCGGGTTGACAGGCACGGCCACGGCCACCATCGTGATTGATGACAAAAATGACCACTCGCCCAAATTCACCAAGAAAGAGGTAAGTCCCATGATTCCTGGGGGTCAGTATTCATTCTGCTGCTGGCCTCTGGTTTAGCAAAACCCCACTCCACCCCTGTGGGAGAGAGGAGGTGGCGGCGGCGGTGGCAGGACCAGAACACGTGTTCACTGTTTTATCTTATTTCTTGTGTGGAGAAGGGAAAAAAATTTAAAAACTCACAACCTACAGCCAGAACAAAAGCACTGAATCTTGTTAAAAGTCCAGAAGAAAATAACTTCTAATGCCGAAGTGCCGTTCTCATAGTTTGATTGGTGGTATTTAATGCTGAGTTATGCCTGTCTCTGTGTGATTCGAGCATAGCAATAACCCTTTTCCCAGCAAGTACAGATCGAGAGGCCAGGCAAATCAGCAAGCAAGGAGGCAAAGTGGCTTTCCTCGGCAACAACACGGTGTCCCGGGAGCTTGTAAACAACAACCAAGTTCGCTGGTCGTGGGGAGCCATTATCGACTCCCAAGTCCTGTGCTTCCATGATAATGGATCATGGTGGTTAGTCCCCCTTCATCCCCATGGAGTGATGCGTGGGGATGGGCTGAGAGTGCATTCGGTGGTTGAGTTTGCACCCGAGCCAGAAAGCCCTTGGCCACGTGCGCCTGGTGGAATTGTCCTGAGATGGTGGCTTCCTCGGGAATCAAGGCCAAGGGTGTGATGACCCCGGTCCTGACCAAAAGAACAGAGTCAGCGCCCACAGATCCTGGCACTGGCGAAGCCCCTTTATGGGCTTCCACTGTTGCCTCGTTTGGCTGCGCCAGTAGCCTCACTGGTGGTGTTTCATCAAGCGTAAGTGGTGATGAGCTGGGCTGTGATCCACACGGTCGGTCGGCAGTTGGAAACCAGCAGCAGCTCCTTGGGAGAAAGACTGGGCTTTCTGCTCCGGTCAACAGTTAGTGTCGGGAACCCACAGGGGTTGCTATGCGTCAGCATGGATGCGGTGGCAGTGAGAGAGAGAGGGATTGTTGAGTTCCATCCTGGACCTGCTGTGTGCCTGCTCTGAGGTCAGAGGCACGGGAAGGAGCAGAGCAGATGAACGGATTCTGTGCACCTGCAAAGGTGAGCCTTACCTGCAGCGCTCTGCCACCTCATCTGCCATTGACGCTTTCCCGAGACCCACATCTGGACCATCAGTGGCCTGGTCTCTTTCTCTGTGAGCCCGGGGGCCACCCCGGGGGCCTTGGGATAGGTGGGCCTTCACCTGGTTCCTCCTGGCCCTGTCCCCTTGAAACCCTTCATAGCCTATTTGGGGCAAGACGGTCCTCTCTCCTCGTGCTTTCTTGGAGAGTCAATGTTCCAACCACAGAAGAGTTCCCCTTTCCTCTATATGGTCTTGGTTCC